TTTATTTTGATAAATTATTTTTGTATGTACTTATTTTAAATAATAGATCTTCAGTTTAACGTTTTCTTTCATTTTTTTATGCTCACGCACATTGACTTGAGAAAGGAGTAGTATTTTTAGGAAGTCCGGTTGACACTTAACTCTTGTCTTTTGAACAGGTTTATTCCTTGTTTTCTGTTTAGGATCGAATCTCCGGTTCCTTTCTAATGTTTACTAGAATTAAGATTGTAATATTCACGGAAGCAGCCCCGCGGGAGTCTGATGCACAAAGTAGCGGTTCTTGTTAAGAATATTCCGTAATAGAACATCCTTATAAAAATGCTTTGAAAAATAATATCTGAGTCAAAAATAATGACAGACTTTTGACATCAATCAGCAAAAAAAATCAATGTTACAAAAAGCCTTATGTAATTATTTGGACCAAAGTCGTGTTTATATTGTTAGACTAGCCAACGTTCTCTTATAATTGTGCCTCTTCGGTACCGTGTCTGTTAGCAAGACTGTTACGTCTTGGCAATGCCTAGTAAATAATGGACTATACCGTTTTGATCGCATAGAAAGAAAGAAAAGGATACTACTTGCTTTCAGTGAGAAAATGAATGAAAAAAGAAAGAAAGCAAGAAAGAAGGGAATATAGAAGTAGAGAGAGAGAGAGAGAGAGAATCAGATTAAGCTGATAGGAATAGATACTACACTTTGATCTTAGTCAAAAGAACGAGTAGCTATTGCCCACGCTAATATGATGTGACACAAGGTCAGCTTAATATGGGAAGATCAACGCGTGAATCCAAGCCAGGTCCCAAAATAGCGCAGCAGCCGTCGGTTAAGTTGGCATCGGGATTACTACCGATCGCTCCTCTTTAGTGCAATGTGGGAGGTACTGCCGAGAGCAGCTGTTTTACAAGACCGATCATCTCTCAATAATATTTTCAGTTGCGCTCTCGAAGAAAACGAATTCGAATTACGGTCGAATCAATAAAATTCGCTTACGTGCTAAGACCCTTGGGAAAGGTATGAATCGTTTCTCAATGCTATGGGTAAATTGCAGGACAGACCGGGCTCTATAGCCCTGGATGCCAACTGGTGTACCGCAGAAAGAAATTGCAACCGACTACGGGAAAAATATGCCTAGTCAATCAAGTATATTTCGATGTATGATCGCCTTAACGTGTATCACACATGGAACATAATTTCTATCTGACTGTCTGTCCAAAGACAGAGACACAAGTGAGTAAAGAAACTTATTTTATCCACCCAAGATAAGATACTACACTTTGATCTCGGCCAAAACGTCGAGAAGCGATTGTAATTTTTTGCCACCCGACGCTGGCAGGATGAGACACAAGGTCACTTTAATGTTGGGTGCCTGACACGTGCACTGTAGCCAGGTCCCAAAATAGCCAAACCATCTACCTCGCAACCATCGATAGGTACAACAGTTTGATCCCAGCATAAAGGCCGAAAAGTAATTTTATTTAATAATAATATACATTATGTCTGGCACAAGGTAGAAGGGAGATGGAAGGAGGCTAGTCATCAGTAACTGATCTACTCCTAGACCATCCATTCTAACTTTTATACACGAGAGACAAAGAAATCATCCTTCGCAATTTTGTTAAAATGTAACGACAGCGAAAAAAATAGTCATTTTTCCGACGTACTGTAACAGACGACGTAAACCGAGGAAAAT